TTCAAATAAAGTTTGCTATGGCCAATAATGAGAACATATTTCCTCTCAAGTCAATTTGAGAAACATTATTAATGTCACTTCTTAATGATTCCACTTCTCTCATGAAATCCTATGAACTTACTCTAATTCAGAGCAGATGTAATCTTAAATAAACTACTGAAGCTTCTGGAATAAATGCTGTGCACCTGAGTCACCATACCTGAATGAAAACCAGGTGACTAGACGATCTCCAGAGGTCCCTTCCAACCCCTACTGTTCTGTGAGTACATACAGGTCATGTAGGTTCCCAAGAATACTTGCAAGGATGGCACTCTAAGATGAGGGCTTCCTCCTTTTACATTAGTCTACGCTGCATTGCTAGTGCAATTCAGTTCCAGAATGGACTATAAAAATGCATCAAGTAGCTTGGACACAAGTCCATCCTACAGCTTACAGCAAGCCTGAGCACATCCATGTGTTCCCCAGCCTATATTTTGTATCACCTTATTCTTCATGGACATATGGCTGTCAGACAAGCACGTTGTTCGTGGATGCCCTGGAAAAGGACCAAGAAAAGACCTGTAGGAAGCCTGAGCTCCCTTTAAAACACTGACCATGTTCCTAAGGCATCTTGCAGCTGGCAAATGCACGCTGTGCTTCAGACCGTCCTGTGCTGTGAAGGACGGTATAGGCACGTTTATGTCTTCTGTTCTTGGCTTCTGCCAAGATCACTCGTTTTGAATAAAAGATACTTCTCTCCTGAACTCTGGACCAATGCCAAAAATTCATGCACATGAACTAGTGAAAATACCAGATGATAAAATCTTTGTTACAATCCACTTGGTCTGAATTTAAACAAATCGGTTACCAACAGCCCAGAGCTAAATGAGGTTTAGTCAAATATGAAAACAGCTTACAGAGACAGCTATTTTTCCCACTGAAAGCTTACCATTTTTGCTTCCTCCTGATCTACATTTTCAAACATCACAACCTTGGACTCTCAGCTTACAAGGAAAATTACAGCAAGGAGCATGAAGTTAAGTTATTTCAGAAAAATGTTATTTTTGCACAATAGAGGGAAGAAGCACACTTCAAAACCACAATTACTTCTATATATAAATGGCAGTACTGGCTCCAATAGCTTTCAGACAGAAGTAACTTCCTGCCTCCCCCCAGAACAACATAAAACAAGCCTGAATTTAAGATTAATTTGAATATTTACCAGATTTTCTCTGCCGCCGTCCAAGTAAATCTGTTACTGTTTTGCGGAATAGTTTAGCTTCTTCTTCATTAGCAAAATTAAGACCAACTTGACATGTCTGAAAAACATTAATATTCCCCCACCCATGACTAAGAAAATGTTTCAAAGGCTTTCTTAAACGTCTTCTTATACCTTCTGAAGGTATAAGCAGAAAAAAATCATGACTGTAAATCTGGAACTAAGTCTCAGTGAAAAGTTCTAACTTAGGAATGTCTGTCCACTAATCATGTTTACAGAGACCATGGCTAATAAATTTGAGCAAAATCTTGTAGACTGAAATTAAGGAAGGGAAATGAAAAAATGTGCTTTAAGAATATATGACACTTCACACGCATAATCTGTAAGTCAAAATGTAATTTCATTAAAAGGAGTTGAAAATAAAGAACTGCATTTTATGCTTCTGTCCTATGGATTTAGTTTTCTAGTTGAGATTCAAAAACAACCTTTTATAAATAAGCTTAAAAAACTTCAAGGAATATAGGTAATGTACTTTTATAAATAATTTACAGAACAAAATTAAAACCTCAGTTATATTGAAGAAGCTACTGTTCAAATAAAAGGCATTTTGAAATAGATATTCAAAGACGTCAAGACTCACATCTCCAGCAAAGGTATGAAAATATCCTCTAGGACTATTATATACAAAGTTATTGTACAGCTCCTGCTCCCACAGTAATTTCCCATCCTGAAAAGAAAAAATAAAAAGATTTTTAAAAACTTAGATGAATACAGAGTTTAACTTCTTTCACAATAGAACCTATTAAGAGCTGGAAGCTGCATGGTGTTAAGCATCTACCTTGCTATTCACCCAACAAATAAGCTCAATCAAAATCAAAATATACTGGAACTTGTGGAAGAAGTAGTCTATTCTATCAGGTCACTGTGTTCTGTTCAAATTCCTGGATATTTTAAAAAAACATCCTTAAAGCTCTACAATCCTGCAATAGTAATACTCGTAGCAGTAACACTGACCAGTGATAGGAATACAGTGGTAATAGCTATAACAATAAAGGAGGCTTCCACCAGTAAGTTATTATTTCAGGCTTGACTTGAGAACAGTTAACTTCAAGGGAACAAAAATCTCACCTTTTTAAGAAATTTTATATATTTAAATGGCATTATAGTTCAGCACCCAAGGAAGAGGTTTCTCACCAAGTCTAATACTCAAGTGACCAAATCACAAAGTCAAATGCAAGCACCAACTGTCAATCTTGAACAAATAAGAGACTTCAAGCATTGAATGCTGACAGGTAACAAGCTGCTCCTAGCTGGAGCGGTAATGGGAAACTTTCCAAACTCTCAGCTGAAGTCAGTAGGACTTAGGCTTCTCAGTATAATTTTTGTTATGAAAACACATCTTGGACACTTCATCTCATAGCTTCCACAGTCTTGAGTGAAATATTAGAATAGGACAACGATCTTCAGTATGCATGTATATATTGTAGGGGAAAAAAACCCCAAACTCGTTCATCCCGCAGTCTCCACACGCACCAACACACTAATCAAAAAGATTGTTTCTACCCCCTATTTTGTTATTATCATCCAAAGCAGTGACATCGGCTACAATTTTGACAGCTATTTGCATCAGTGACACTATACTAACTTTCACTAGTTTTGACTACTCAGATCTGTAGAGGACAGCTTCTGTAAGCTGCAAGAAAATAATATCTGGTATTTATTTAATTTGTAAAAACTGACATCTATGAAAGAATTTAAATGCAGAATACCAGAGAAAGTTGCACTTGCCTACTAATAAGCACTGAAATTGCACCGCTTAAAGCGCAACCATTTATTTCAGGACTCCTGCGAGTTTGTAGCTACAACAACCTACACTCATTCAATTCAAAATGGAAAATAAATGCAACAAAGCTTAAAGAGTCTGAAGAAGAAAAGATGCTTACCTTAATGTCAAATATTCTGATAAAATATGACCTCTGCGGATTGTCCTTTACAAGGCAAGCTACACCACAGCATTTCTTTGACCACATGCCATTGCGATCTGCTGCATATATCTGAACAACTGCTGAAGACATCGTCTAAAAAGAAAAGGTAACTATTACTTTTAAGGTAAAAATCACATATTCTACATTACATCTTTTATCAAAGCATGTCTTAATTTTGGTCCTTGTTCTAGGCAGCAACTTTGATGATTTCCCAGGTGGTAACACAGTAAAGTTCAAATGACCCCAAATTACTTCTGTGCTTTAAATTTTAACTTCTACACAAGATTTAGAACCCAACTGAACTTTTTGTTCTTGCTCATGAAGTCAGGAAAAAGACTTTGCCTGTACAAAGCAGACCAGTAACTATGGTGGACACACAGAGAAGCCCTACTGTGCAACTAAATTTATTTCTGTTCAGTACTTCAAACTGGATAGAAATGCAATACTCAGATCCGTATTGACTGTAAATTACACAGTGCCTGGAAACACTCCCGGGTACTGGAATGCAACTGTCTACATTGCTTCATTGTTCAAATGGTCTCTGACATGATTTTAACCTATGCCAACTAACAAACTCCTAAAATTCTTGGGCATGGTTTGAGAATTCTCATGAGCTAGGCTCATTCCCAGTTGGCAACCTGAAATCATCTTGTTTTCAAACTGAGAGATTTTAATAAGAGATGAAGATTATTCCACACCAGATTGCTTCAGTCAAGTCACAGGGAATGTTTCTGGGCATATTTTCTAGTGTATATGCAACTGCTGTCCTACCTTAAGAGTCCTGAGTGAATGAAAATTGAAGCCTTGAAGAATATTTATTTAGCAGCCAAGTGGTAAGGACATAAAGCTTAAAGGCTCTGTCATGGGACAGACCAGAAGCTATCTAGCTCAGGATCTACTCTCCAATGGCACCAGATGCCTAGGTAAGAATACAACAGTACACCACTTTGCTATGGGAGCACACCTCCAGCAACTGGCAGGTTGGAGCTCAAAGCTCCCGAGACAGCATACGTGTTTTACGGCACATGCTGGATTTTTCCTTTGTAAATTTATCTAATCCCTTCTCTTAATGGTTTCATAGATGATTCTCTATGCTGTACATGCTTTTATGGATATTTGTCACACTTCTTTGCCCTGTAAGTTCTCCACTGTTTAGGAAGTGATAGTAGTTTGAAGCCCTGTATCAAGGCGGGGCGGGGAATCATTCTAGACTTTCACTAGCCTTGTCACTCTCACATGGATCTTACCCAGTCTTAGTACACCCTTCTTTGACTGGGGATGAGACTTATGCTGTATGAACCCAGTTGGTAATTCTGTGTTCAAAAGGTTAACAATAATACTGTGTTCTGTTTTGTTCTCTATTTCTTTCTCTGTAAGACAAAGAGTTCTATTTCTTTTTTCACTATGGAACATTAAGCAGATGTTTTCATAGGTCTGTTACAGTTCCAAGACCCTTCCGGAGGGATCACATCTAGTCTGAGTAGCAGGCTCCATACTAGGTTTTTCCCCACTCACTCTACAAGCATTACTTTGCCTTCATTAACACTAACTACTTGACAAAACAGCTGACATGTAGAATGCAGGTATATCTTGTTGCGTTATAAGATTATCTACTAGATATCAATATCACCCATGTCACAATTAATAACTGGTTTAAAAAACAAAACAAAACAAAACAATAACCTAAGTTTCATGGGTTGTTTTTTTTGTTTGTTTGTTTTTGGGTTTTTTATTAAAAAGCCTTCCAATTTTGTTAAAATAGAGTCAAAGTAATATAGCCAGACTGACATCTACTCCTTGAGGAAGCTTTATAACCTTTGGCCAACAACTGTGATGTAACTTTCACAGGTCAAGATATAATTCTGTTCCTCTTTGCAGTCACCTCTTCAGAAGTTGTCAAACTGACTACTAATCTTTCTGGTAACCTAGAGAAAAAGTTAAAGCATGACTGAATGATAAAAAGAAAGCTTTGCAACTGCCTCTTCAAATGCTCTACCGCTAAATGTAGAATAAAACTTCTCTCCCTATAACCTACAAAGTAATACTAACAATTTAATCATAACTGGACTTATCAGATGAGTAAAAAGAGATCCTTGAATTTGCCATACGACCACAACAAAAGAGTTAGCTCACATAAGCTGCAGGCATAAGAAATGCCATTTTCCCCCTTATGTTGAAACAGGCAAAGGTTTAATTCTGGGCAAAACTGGCCAGATTTTGTTCAAAACTTCTGCTAACAGCCTTTTCTCTCCTTTCTCCAATGACATCTCATTGTTAAACAGATAATCTTGTAGACACAAGACAACAAAAGGGAGCACCAGTGGGCTGTTCTACAGTTGTAACGAAGGCATCACATTCAATCACAGCAACTATCCCAATGTCTGTGCAAGAAGCCTTCTCAACCCTCCAAAACAAGTCCAGCTCCACTAATCTCCCCCAACAGGACTATTCATACAAACAGTGGTCTTGGCAGGAATTACACAACTTAAATTCAAGGCACAGAAGACGGCAATCTGTGACAAGAAAGGGCTCCCTATGTTGCTTCCGACCATATCTAGCAGGAGAAGCACCAACTGGATTATCTGGGTAAACCAGTATCTCGATGATGATTGTGTACAAAACCTTGAGTCAGCACCAACCCCACGAGAAGACAGAGGAATATTACACAAAAAGTGTGTTCTCATTCTGCATAATCATAATAGATTTAATGTGCACTTGGATACCCTAGGAGTAGAGCTTAATTTACAAGTTAGAGAACAATTTCACTGAATCTAAAGTAGGTGTTGTTTTGAGGCCTACCAACCTTTGAGTTCAATTATATTTTAACTTATTCATTAGCATTGTGCAAATTCTTAGTGTTGACAGACTGTGATGAGGCTTTCACATGTTACAACATATAATTATAAATTCCACTGTTAAACCACTATATTTTTTTTTATTAGAGGGACAATACAGGAAAAAAATACAAGGTGTATTTTTGAGGGGAGAAGGACTGCTTTTACTTCAGCCACTGTTCATTTTCATTATACAGAGCAGTGGTGCCATGCTTTATGCTATTCAGCTTCTGGAAGACACATAGCAAAAATATTTAATAATCTTTGATGAGTCTTTGGACTCTTGTGGAAGCTCGGAAAATTACAAACTTATCAGCAAAACTTACAACCTGTGAAAATATATGAACCATAAACTTAATCTACTGATATTCATTATGAATCCTAACAACATAAATTCAATTTAAAAAAATGTAAACTTTAATTGCAAAATTGCAGCATCTGAGAACATTTATGCAAATATCATAATTTCAGTATTCTACCGCATTTTCTGACTGAGCATTCACTTTGTCTATTTTTAAGCCAATTAATATACCCAGCTCAGTCTCTCACAGCATTCTTAAAGAGAACGTTGCATTTAAAACTATGGGTTCTTAAAATTATATGTAAACATTTCTTCATAATAGATCGCATCACTGATTTCACAGAGAGACATCAACAGTACTGCCATTAAATAGAAAATGCAATTAGTGTATTTCCTCTGATATAGTAAGTTGATTTGTTACTTAATATCTAAAGCTATTACTGCATTTTCAGGAGGTGGATTTTGAGGCTGGCACTACTGCTTTGCGCAACAGTTTTGTCGAAGACCTTGTTCTTTTTATGTACCTATATGTTTGGAAAAGGTGCACAGGGGAAAGAAGTAAGGTAGCCCACTAACTACTGATAGGCCATGGAGCTGAGAATCAAACCCCCTCAGTTCCCTTTATATTTTCATCAGCCTCTGACTGCAGGACATGCCACTGATTTCAGAGACTTGTCAACGAGCTATGAAGGAGTTAAGTCTGGTGTTGTCAGCTGTACACTGGCTGCTTCACTAGTAGAGCTGGTCTCATCCTTGGACACACAAACTGCAGGATAAGTGGGATCAACAAAAGACTCATGAAAACACCTTCTACCTGCAAAAGGTAGCCACAACTAGTCATCACACATTTGTACAATGTGATCACAGCAGCCACTGATAGTTTCCAACTGGGCAGCAGATACCTGTGTACTTTGATCAGCTTCTGGTGTGAACATTTGCTGCAGTAGCCTGTCAAGTTAATGACTTGCTATAACTCAGTGTTTCCCAAAAAAAGTGAAGCAGGCCAACACAGAGAGTGGCACATCTCATTACAAGAAAGAGCCATCACACTTAACAGTTGATGTGGACTGCGAAAAGCTAAGAAATTACAGGAAACTACAGACATTACAACACAGTGAGCCAAAAGTCACAACAAAGAGCAGTAGCAAGATCAAGGCAGTAAGTTCAGCCACCTCAGGATACTCCAGAAGAGAAAGCATTTCAAGACCCATTGGGATGGTTTTTGTAGTGTTCACGTACAGCTGACAACTGCTTGTGGTGCAAAGATCAAAGACGCATAACTTTGGTTGGAGGTGACCTCTCTAAGTCTTCCAGTCCAACCTCCTGCTCACAGCAAGGGTAATTAAAAGCCTGGAGTTCAAGTTGCTCAAGGTCCCGTCCAGTTAAGCTTAAAGGCTGCAAATCACCTCTGGGGAACCTGTTCCAGCACTTAATCACTCCCATTTTAGTGCTTGTAAAAATGCAACTAAGTTTAATGTATTCTAATGGTTCAGTATTGTTATGTGTTACATGTTGACAGTACTACTGAAGATGCATTTGCGGTGATTTTCAATGTTTCCAATTTCAAGACTCATGGTTTTTACAATAAAGGTGCAGACCCCTGCATACGTACGTAATTTAATAGCACATGACAGCCTTGCTTTTCTTGGCTATCCTTCCCTGAAGTATCTTACAAATTGAACTGGGGAAAAAAAGACCTTGCCCTGTAATATTTAAGAACACAAGCAGCAGCAGTTGTTTCCAAGCAGAGCAACCTCTTGAAAAAAATCATGTTGATGCAACACTACAGCTAGTGAGAGCGTAACTGTGGCAGGCATTTTTTAAGACCTACTGTGATGGCAATCCTTATTATGGCAGCAATCCTTATTATGGCTAAGCCAACACGCTGAAGCCTGACCAGGTAATGCTGGGTACTCCTGGGCTGGGTTAATTAATTTCTTCTTTGGTACAAG